ACCAAAACTGACAACCTGATCCATTCACTCGACTCTAAAAACGCTGAGGATTTATCTTAACTCCGAATCCTTACATGGTTATATGACGTATGATATCTGACGAGCATACAATACTTTACAAAAAAACTATTAAACAGTTTATAAGATATGCTTCAACTTTTTTGCCTTGGAAACATACACAAATTTAAAAAATCCTTAATTGGAAAACGCACGATTTCAGAGCATCGCAGATGTGTATATGCGGTTTTCTGAAGAAATATTAAAATGGTTTATGAGTTATGCTCCGGAAGCCTTCGTTTGATTTGGAGACGTAAACTATAGACAGGTTTCAGTCTTCTTTTGGGTGTGGTATACATGTACAAGAACCACGATATCTTCATCTCATTCACTACATTACGAAGCAGACAATAACAAAATACACGGCAGAGAAACCGTCCAATATTCTCCTTTGGTATTCTGAAATGCAGATTCCATGAGGATTTTGTAAACTGCAGAGCTTGCCATATTTAAGACTGGGTCAGAATGATATAAGCTGACATAAGTATACACTGTCGTTTCCCCAAGGAGTTGAGAGCATGCTGGAAGGGACATGGGAATTCAAGTGTGTTCGAGAAGATGAGGAAGAGGATTGTCATCCCAAGGAAGATGTAATAACATATATATTTACTCTTGAGCACAGTGACTTGAAGGTATGCTGATATTGGGAGAACATTAATATAACATACAGTATTGTTAAAAGCTGTAAAATGTCATATCAGAAGGGAAACCAAGTATTTTCATGTTAAAGCACTCTTGCTTTGACAGCTATTTTTCATTTCAGTTTTTAATGAAGTATAATTAACATAAAATATTCACCTGAAAGACATATTGAAACAAATCAAATTCATTCGACCAAATTTGTTTTCTTCGTATGTATTTTTTCCTCAATTAAATAGTAGGATGTTATGATGACTGCCTTCTTGAAACAACGGTCACAACAGTATCAAAGCTTATTCTAATGGTTTCTGAGACGAGGTTGTGTATGCTGATGTTCACACCTCACATTCCTACTACTTTCACTGGACGACTTTCAGAGATGAGTAATGGTCGGTTACACAGTAATAGTTAAACCAATTCAAGAAGAAAGCATAAACGTATTTATCGCAGAAGTCATATCAGCCTTATTTAAACAATCATCCCTTGCTGAATTGACGCAACCCTTGCCACGCTGAATTCAAAACATCACTATTAACACGTCAGAAGGTGTTATAGTCAACAAGTCGAAGCCGCGAGTGGTGAAAGCATCACATTACGTAACAGAATAGAGCTAAACGTCAATTCATTTTAACGTTGCTAAATATAACAATACGGGTTGTGGTTGGTCGATTTTCCGCTTTGAATACATTAATGTTGCAATATTAAATTATTATAGAAAAGGCAACCCGATACTATCTAACGCGTATATAAATAATTATTTATTGTTGAGAAAATGGTCCGGCTTATGGAAATGAGCTTTAAAACATATATTCCCAAACACTTTAGCAGGATTAAGCCTAAAGGTAAGTACTTCCCCCCAAAATATCTCTATACTAGAAAGTACTTTCAATGATGGGAATCAAGGGAACTGACGATATTACATGTAAAGAGGCTGGCAGATCCATAGTTCCAATTGAATATTAGCCTGAAACTATAAAACTATAAAAATTGCTGAATCTACAAGATATTTAAGGATATTTTAAAAAGGCAAAGTTATGTGTAGCATAACATTTATTGTTTCAACTATTGATTTCACAAATAGATCAGCTCTTTCAAACGATATCAGGTTTCCCATAACATCATAGATGGCAACGGATTACGATTTTGAAAAAAAATAATAATGAAAATTAAGTAGGCCTGACGAGATAAGAGCAGGATGCCGTTCCACTAACCGATCTTACCTAAGATCAATCTTAGCAGCTTACGCCAATTTTACAATCGTCTTAGCTACAAGTTACACCCGTTCCACTAACCGATCTTGAACGAACGTAGCCGGTCCCGAACTTACGATCCGGTCCAAGCTTCGTTCGAGACTCTTTCGTGAGAGAGATAGAGAAATGCAAGGCACGAGTTATCTCCTTTTGCATACTGGTACTGTAGAAGACGATGGAAGTAGTTTTGAACCAAGTGAAAACGTGGGGAAAATACCTCGAGAAATATATTAGGGTAGTGAGAACCTTGGTTTCAGGGGCAAATGCGTGTGAACACTTGGTATCAGGCATAATGTGTGGCTGAACCTTGTCGATCAGAATAAACAAGGCGTGACGAGGCATCCTCTACCTCACACCCTGTAGTACCACACGCACTGTTGCTCGTGGCCGTTACGTTTGCTATGTACAGAGTAACGGCTCGCTACGGCTGAAACTACTTTTCACCATGTGGTCTTGCCGCACAAACGTTAAGCATTTGGGGGGCAAATTTATCGTATTTTGATAACTTAATTATGAAATAACTTGTTCTAAAATTGGACTAAATGTTACAAGAATTGTGTGAAAATTCCATGTTATTCGGTATGTTTTGGCATAATGTCAAAATGTCTGGTTATATTTGAAATGTCTGGTTATATTTGTCAAAATAACATACATTTCACAAACCAATGTGGTACCAGGTGACAAGTATTACGATATGCAGGCGTGTAACTGGGTGTGGATAATTTCAAATAGTGAAGTTAGTCACGAATGTCTAATTTGAGAGGCTACGACTTGCTACACGTGGAGACACACGTTTGCTAGTTGCATATTGTTTTCGTCCATACGGTTTGCTAGCATTGATTTTGGTGATACGTTTTGCTTTTTTTGTGTCTTCCAGGTCCACGAAGTACAGGTGTCACGAGTTGGATGTTAAATGTGACTTATTTGATGAAATTATCCAACATTTTTGTAACACCCATCCATGATGGGCAAATTGCAATATGTGACCAAAAAAAAGTTGAATTTCTCTTTACGACAGATTTAGATAATAATAAACAAATGAAATCGAAAGCATCAACTCTGTTTGGAATTAATAGCTCATAAATTCGTAAATTCACATTTAACACAATTCCTTTGAACACACTCTCATTTTCAATTACTTCGTCTAAGCACTGGCTATCTATGACTGACAAGATCTTTACTATTATATAGCGTATAAATGTGATAAAATGTCACCGTGACGCAACCAATGTCATTCAGACGTAGCGATCGAGCCGTTACTCTGTACATAGCAAACGGTAACGGTTACTAGCAAACGTCTTATCTCTGGTGGGTATTACAGGGAGTGACCTCGCCACAAACACATCATCTGATAACGTATCTAGAATCTGTCAGTGGTCTTTGAAAAACACGCAGCCTGCCTTTGGAATCCCCCACCAAATATGCGCAGTGATATCAAACATATTTGTATCGTTTTCTTTCAGAACATTGTTCACTTCATGACCCGTCCCTATTCTTAACCATGACGTTGCAATATTGTTGTACAAATGTATTACACCGACTCCCTCGGCTGTTTTCCCAAGGACGACAGTGGTCAGACTGGCCTCACATTTGTAAGGCTTCAGTGCAGTGTGTGTTTACATCACAGAAATAAACAAATTCATTTCATGGTGAAATGCTCGCTCTTCTTCTTCACATAGAATATGAAAGCCACCATTTTGGTTTCTCTACGATTGATTTTAGCGATCCTAAGTTGGTCATGACTTTGGATCTTAACTTTACGATTGACTTGGGTAAGATTGGTTAGTGGAACGGTAAGCCGATCGTAACGTCACGCTAAGATTGGGATTTTAGGGGTTTACGATTGGCGTTAGATCGGTTAGTGGAACGGCACCCAGAGCGGCAATGTTTGGTTTAGGTCTGTAATTAGGGACCGAATTAGGGACCGATACACCATCTTAAACACACAGACAACGATGAACCTATTCATGAGAGTAAAAATATTGTCGCGGCCAAATCTTGAAGAGGCAACGGCTACACAAACGTACTGCTACGACAGAACTGAAATATGTATCATCTAAAAATATCTAGATATATTACTTAGATGTAACCTTATCTATATTATGTTTATCATCGTCTATGGCGCACTGGGATGTGGGGTCTATTTTCTGCATGAATAACATTTTTCATACTGTGTTACAACCGTTTGGACACATAGTGCTGACCCTATTATCTTCCTTAACACATCATCGACCATACACATGCTATGTAGAACAAATATCTCTGCCTAATCGTCCAAGAATAGAATCCAAGTGATTAGATCATGTTACTTCAACAGAAGTAACGAAGCCAAGACTTAATATCATTTTGTCGAAAGGACAGAGGAATGTAGTCTACCCATACAGTCGGTTTCGCGAACTTGCGCTTTAAACTCGTAAAAACGGTGTTTTTGATGTGGAATGTAAGGCCAAAGAAGCATAGTCACGTTTTTTACTTGTTTTGCGAACATTCGCTTTATATGTTGAGAGTAAATAATGTTAATTGGACAACTGTCTCTCTTCAGATATCATCAACTGTTGGGAAAGATGGTTAAAAACACCCCAAAACAAAACAGACCTTGACAAAACGATTCCTTCTTTAACACTTTGCATTGCATGGCCTTCAGATTTTTTATACGTTCAATATTGTTCTCAAAAGGGTGATGGGAATATACACATTTGAAAGGGGATAGCACATAATTACATAGATCTTCCTGTGAACCACTGAATTCTTTACGATTGATTGCAGGTTTACATCGTATGCCTATTGATCAGAGATCAAACGTGTTAAAACGTAGCTGTCGTGAATGCACAGATTAACCGAACATCTCCCGACCCACTTGATCTCGAAAAGACGATTGAGCTTATAAAAAGCCGTGATCCTGATGATCAGAAAATGTCTTTGTTGTTCGTGGCGAAAAAACTGAAATTAAGAATTGTGTGAATTAGACATGACATAAAAACGCTTGTAAAATAAATGTTGCTGCAATTGTAAAGAAAGGTGTAAAAGGCCAAGAGCCTTGTTTGCTCTTCTCACCGATGCTGCACTGTCCTCGTTCTTCATGTGTTCTGCAATGAAGGTTACTGACTCGATGGCCTCTTGAACGTCCTTTGGCCATCTTTTTCTCAGTCGCGGCACTGTATGCTGGTCAATGGTGGGAACCAGTTCTTCATGGATCGGTCGACCAAAGTCCGTTGGCCTGGGGGGTTCGAAGCCAGGACCTAAGTTCAAATGTCTGTTTTCGCCAGACGTGTCCCGAACTTCGATCCCGTTACATGTCCTTACAACAACTTTTTGTTGCATGCGTTCAGGCTCTTGCTGAGGTCTACGCATAACAAGAAGTTTAGGCAGAATGTTTAAGAACACTCGCCTTACCCATGGAGCCATTGTATGGGTAGAGGGTGACCTAAAGTGTACATTTAGAACAATAACAGTCACAATAATAGACAATGTAACAAGAATCATTGTAAAAAGTAGATATTTCCCAATCAGTGGGACATCAATGGATGTTGGAGGAATAATCTCGGCCAGCAGCAGGAAGAACACGGTCAATGAAAGCAGGATAGAGATACAGAGGGTAACCTTCTCCCCCGAGTCTGATGGCAAGTAGAACACAAGAACGGTCAAGAACGAAATGGCAACGCAGGGAATAATCAGATTGACTGTATGGAATAAGGTTTTTCTCCTGATCGTTACTTCGAAAGTGATATCGGGATATGGTTCATTACAACAAGGGTACGTTCTTGTGTTCTTCCTGGCAGATACGTCCAAAATGTCCCATTCCACACTAGGATAGAAGTCCCTCAAATCCACGCCTTGGGGGATAGTGGCACTGGGACCTTGTGTGTTGGAACACATATGGACTAGATCTACTTGGTCGCCGTCATATGTCCAGGACCCAAACTTCATTGAACAATTTTGAACGTCAAATGGGAAGAACTTGACATTGATAATGCAGGAACTCTTATAGATAGCTGGAGGTTCCCACACCACAAGACCATCGGGATGGAGGGTCGCCTTCGTCATCAACGTCACCTCGTAGTTGCCGTCGGCACTGGAAATAATAGACGACATCATTTCACGAGAAAAGGTTACCCTCAGTAGCTCCGGCCTGCACCCATTGCTAATGGCTACGAACAGTTCTACTTGCTATTTTGAAAGTCAAATAGATACAAAGCAGTTGGCTAAAAAGAGACACTACAAGAATACAGCTATAATTATCTCTAAGTATTAGTACTTTGACGAACGCCATACAATACAAACAAAAGAATAGAAATAAATCTAATATGAGTTTTAAATTTCAGATTGTTTTTTTAAGTCATTCCGAAATTATCTCAATTTTGAAGAAATTACAACTGACAGTGCCTGCGGAGGATCTGAACTGGCATTCAAAACCGCCATTGACAAAATCTCACAGGCCTGCATGATATCATAAGGTCAAGTTAAGCGTTTGTTTAATATTTTTACTGACTCTTTGCTTTTTGATATAGTTAAGAATATGCATAATATTGTATAGAGCTCTGGAAGAAGAAACCACACTATAATAGAGTGTTAGTAGAACATCAGAAGACTCTATAACACACGTTCAAGGATCCCTGTAAGTACGTTGAAATTCTATGACTCATAACAATGTTTCTTCCTTGATGGTGAAAATGAGTTCAGTAGAAGCAATCATTTTCTTCATACACGCAATGATATAAATTACACAATGTCATATCTTTATCTATATTCATTATCAAGGATTTCGACTTAAAGGGATCCTTGAATAGACATTGTTTATTGAAGAGATCTTACTTGCTGAGCACAAACAATTAATCTGTTTTCAATACAGTTCCAGACACAAATGCATATTGTACATAACATGGACAGAGAAAAGGCAACACAATCACAATTATGGCACAATGTTGTGTTCGTGAACGAAAATACAAGCCATTTGCTTCACACGATAAACAATGCGTACAGTGCTCTTGATATGCTGAAATTACTGTTGCATAACAGTTGTGGTGAAAAACTGAAAGCTAAAATGAAAAGAAATGGCGAGAATTATACAAAGTCATTATAATACGAACATGGTTTCTGGACCCAAGAGACAAGTGAACGTTACAAATTCTGGGTCGCATAATAACCATATGTAATTATGAAAATGTATTATTGTTTCACATCCACAGTCTGTGTTTATCCTAGTTCCTGCGACACACATCAATGTCCACTACGTTTCCTTATACTAAAAAATAGTCTGCCAAGAGGGCCTGTCAATGCTATCTTCCTCAAGTGGACGTGTCTATCTGTTTAATATCTGTTATCCACAGACATAATAATGAACACGATCGCGAAGCTAGTCCTCTCCAACTAATCGGTCTTAATACTAGCTGTCTGAAGTAATGTTTTTGTCTAGACTCAGTCTCTATTGTGGGCAAGTCTGCAAAGGATCCGAAATTGTCAATCCCCAAAATAAACACTCCACGAAAAGTTGGCAAGTTTCTAGGAGGATTCTGTCACCTGAGATCGCCGAGAAAACGTGGGTGTAGTTCATTAACTGCAGGTAGCAGACATTAATAGAGAAGGCAATCACTGGTTCTATAAGTATGACACGTAGTTTATAGTCTCCGGTACCATCACGCTGAGAAATTGGGAGGAATTACAAGTGCAAATAATCTTTTTCATGAACTGTCAAAATAAGATAAAGCGTTTATTTCAACAAGTAGTCATTCACAGAAAACCTCGTAAATCCGGACAAACGCCCCAACATGATTGTCCGAAATGTGGGGTTTCCTGGTTAATTGGGGCCGGGCCACAGAGGTTTCACTGTATTGCTAATATGAGAAAGAGAAATTATATCGGTATAAGTTGAAGAGCATTGAGGAGAAAAAAACAAAGCTAGAATATCTATCGAGCAATATATCTATCTGTGTGTACATAATATCTAAATATCTACGTATCTAGCGCTATTACTATCTCTAGATAACTAGAAGTCAAACGCATACTAGAAGTCATACTAAAAGGCAGAATCGTGTTCAACTGCAGCTTATTATTTTGAATCAACAAATAATAAAATACATACATTTATTTTTATTTTGGTTGTGTATCATCTGTGGTGACTTAAGTGCCGACATTGAACAAAATGGCGTCTTCATGCATAGCGCCTCCAACAAACACAAAAATGACAGCAACAACAGATTCTTCAATATTCATTTCACATTTCATAAATTGTCATTAATAAATCATCAATATCAACACAGATATATTCATTTAAGATATTAAATTTGACGCCCGTTTTGGCGTTTGGAGCTGGCCTGCTCACGTTACTCACTTATTGAAAAGCACAATCTCTGGGGTCCAAATGGCAGAAACAGGAACCTCCAGTCTGTCGAGACCGCCATATTCCAAGGGATCCCATTCTAGGTTGAAGTCTTCCCAAACCTTTCATATACAACAGTCGGGCGTGTTAACTTTATACAGTCGTGTGTCTACTCGAACTAAAATAGGTCGAAACTAAGTCGAAATATTCGTACCAGGCAGGAACATGTCAAAGGTCAAGGTTAAGGTGAGAATATTGCTTGAAGGTCAAGGTAAAGATGAGGTCACCCGGGTTCAAGGCAGTGGAGGTGTCACTTTGCAGTCAAGGTTAGGCGAAGGATCTCAGCAAAGAGAGAGCGGAGTTCCGATAGGAGAAAACGAGGCTGAGTAAATCCAAACTCCCAGTCCATGCCGTTAGTAAAGAAGTCGGTTTGGTAGTTAGGAACAAGAAATTACACAAGTGTTATTTGTTAGTCCAGGGCGGGTACACCGTCACTTACCGAAGTAATAGTACAACAGCTGAGTTCATGGGGAGTATAATTTTAAATTTCTTAATTATCCCCCTGAACTGAACTGGCTAATTCCGTTAACTGCAGAACCAACGGAATAACATTAAGTCTATTTTGAACTTTCTGTATGAACAGAGGATGAATAATAAAATGTGCAATAAGTCAGCAGGAATGTACCCAAAAGCTCAACACTTACCTTCCGCCTGTCAACTGGGCCACAAGACTAAGCAATGTGCAATTTACCACATACGGAGACATCACATGACAACATCTCTGTGACAACAGAAGGCCACACAGAGTCACTTACTTATTGTAGAGAACAATATCAGGAAGCCATATGTCTTTGGACGGGACATACAGTCTGTCCACGCCCCCGTATTCCGAGGGGACCCATGTAAGCTTTCTGTCGACCCATTCCTGGTATGCATTAGGTGGAAATAAAGCAGAGATAAGACTCTCCTCACGGCACAGTAAGAAGGAACGAAAGACGTATTACAATCAAACACGTAAATCTTATCAAAGAACCAATTGTCAAACATGCTGAAGAGACGGTTGTATGCACAGAGTAATGGGGTGAGAAACGAGTTTTTTTATTTATCGCAATGGAAATGATAGTGACAAATTTATAAAAAATATTAAATAGACAGTTTTTAAATACATTGGCTGGAAAAGAAAGATATGCATCATAACAATTGCCACACAAGTAGATCATAAATTTCATTGTTGGCATCAGACAATACAACATTCATTAGGGGGAGTGCACCAAGTGATGTTGGTATAAAGTGTGAAAGAATTTACTAAAATGGACATAGTTCAATGTGCGTGTCATGCACAAAGGGGAGGATTCGATCGACCCACTTCAACGTTCTACAGTAGAACGAGATGGAAACTGTCGCATACTTTAACAAAGATCCTTTCGCCTTATCTCTCTTCGACGAGCACTGTCGACATCACATCAGGTGATAAAGCTTTATTATGGGGAATAAACAGTCTCACACACTCCAGTAAATTTCCGATAACAAACCTTAATAAGAATGTATAGTCACAACACTCTGATTCGTATTTTTCTTCTCTTTGGCTTGACAGATGACGAGAACTATTCAGAGGATACTGCTACATAAGGACTGGACTGTTTCAGTGTATGTGATAATCATTAGCATAGTGATTACGGTTTTTCTAATGAAACACTTTATGATATATTTAGCATTAAGACATATTAGCTAAAACTTAGACCAAATACTTTGACACTTAAGCAAACATTTACCGCACAATAGACTTGAGTTTGAATATACAATCTCAATTACAAACGTATATTTGTTATATGTAATAAAATAGAAATTAACTTTTTCTATGAACTTATTCAATTAAAAATAATTGTACATAACACTCCAAAAAGCATGTCATTGACGTAGTGTAGATACCTCAGACAGCAACATACGAGCCAAGACAATTAAAAACCACATTCAGTCATACTTTCATCATATAATTATAATCACTGTTGGTATTTTTCAATAATTTCGTGTTATAAATAATGTTGATGACCATGGAAACGTAAACTATATGTCAACAGTAAAGCGACACAGATTGTCATGTTAATAATTGTTAATACCGTACTGTTGTCATACGGGTCATGTGATCTGCGACGTTGCTATCCATGGATGTATTGTTACCAACGTTACGTGGGATTTTGAACACATATTTCCAAGATTAAGCAAACATTGTCAACAGTGCTCGCAAACAAATGCAAGACGAAAGGGTAATTCAAATCGTGACATCTCGGGATTTTCTTACTGTGCTGTTTGGAGATGCGATAATACCAATTTCCATGCAAATAAGCAAATTGTTAGTGGCAAAAGTGACACAAGAATAGAATTAAAAGCAGTTAGTGGGCGGAAGCAAAGGTTATGCAGGGTGAGGCAGAAATGTTTAAAATTCATAATTATACAGTTTTACAGACAATATTTTACTTGATTTATCAAAAGAAGCTTGAAATTTACTTCCGTTTTTGAATATGAACATGACCCCAAATTCAATCCATTATAAGAAAATGTTAAATGTGTCGATCTCATTGTCGTGTTTATCAAATTCATCTTGACATTTAACAAGATATGCCTTAAAGCTATGATGTGTTAGTAAATCTTCCTTGAATATTACCGAACTAAAGAGCACAGTATCAACATGACGGTCACGTAATGCGCCAAACCTAAAGACATCGATGGAAGCGTGTTCAGAGCAAACCTCAAACAAGAGATGGATGGCATCTGGAAACACTAATATTGAGAAGAAATCAATCACTTTAAATTCCCCAAACTGTCAATACCTGGTATTAAAGTGTGTGTATTGCAAGACCCCGGGGACTCTACATGTGCTGATAAGCCTGGAAACATGGGTATCAGATTGGATCGTGATCAGTGGACATTTTCAGAGGATGTACATGACCAAATGCTATGTAAAGACCTCATCAATTTAAGAGGTGTGGAACGCAAAGTCTTCATCTAGGTCAGATGATGAGGATTTATGCTGCGGTTGTTATTTAATCTGGCTGTTGAGCGGAACAAAGACGAAAATGAGGCACATTTCACAGAAATTGGATAGGAGGTTTGCAACGTAATTTCCACTCAGTTTCAGAGATAAATCAAGTATATTCAAGTATGTCACGGGTGACAGAAAAACGTCAAGCTCCAGAACGTCTGTTCTAGTTCTGAAAGGAAGACTGAGTGCATAAAAACGTACACAGAGAACAGTGCTAGGCAGTAGACGAGAGAGACACTACCAAGGGAAGATTGGTACTATCACAAACTACATAAATGAGCAGTTCCATGCTAGAAATATAGCAACAATCAATACTTGATCAAAGTATATAATATTAAGTTATTATGTCATTGTTTCTATTACTTTATGGCATATCGTACATCTATTTATACATAATTAAATGAAAGCAATAAGCAGTATGATAATAGTCCATAAGGATACTGATCAAGATTATGAGAAATTTTACTCATGAATTTAGGTTCCGAAGATCAGGAAAAAAGTTAAACCTTCCTGGTTGTATTTTTTCTATTAACTGGAGTAAAAGATACTAGTTGCAACGTCTAACGTGAATAGAAGCTGATGTCACCTGTCTCAGCCAGACGTTCGTCGTCATCACCTGGTTCTTCTCATCCTGAAACAGAGGAACAGACATGAACATAATATGAACATGATATGGACATGACATGACATGACATCTCCTAATGAGTGAGAGCAACAGTCTTTGACCATGGTATCACAATGACACGTTCTACTAAACATGTCGGTGTCTGATTACGCTAGTGGTTAAAGGTTTCGCTTGTCACGCCGAAGGCTCGTGTTCGATTCCCCACATGGGTACAATGTGTAAAACCAATTTCTGGTGTCCCCCGCCGTGATATTGCTGGACTATTGGTAAAAGCGGTGTGAATCCATACTCACTCACTCACTAAACAGGTAGCCTTGATCCGTGTAAATACATTCGGACATTAGAAATTTGCTTCACTTTGTTCTGATCTGGGAAACAGCTGTGAAAGCGTCCGTTTCCGCTTCTTGTTCCCATAATCCTGAGACAGTGGTTTGGGGATGACATTGTCATACCAGATAAGTACATAAACAGTACATGGTGTAAGAGCACATCAGAGCCGACGATATGTTGGTGCAGGTAGATAAACCACGGTGTGCTGCAAGGTGACGGGTAGACAAACCACAGTGTGCTGCAAGTTGACGGGTAGACAAACCACGGTGTGCTGCAAGGTGACGGGTAGACAAACCACGGTTTGCTGCAAGGCGACGGGTAGACAAACCACGGTGTGCTGCAAGGTGATGGGGTGGACATGCCAGGGCTACGAATTTCACAAAGATGTCAAAACACTGTTAACAATGAAAACAGAAAAATGCATTGTCAACAATGTGACAATGTCTACAATGTGACGGAGAAGACACACACTTGTCTACAATGTGACGGAGCACACACACACTTGCCTACAATGTGGCGGAGAAGACACACATTTGTCTACAATGTGACGGAGACACACACACAGTTGCCTACAATGTGGCGGAGAAGACACACACTTGTCTACAATGTGACGGAGAAGACACACACTTGTCTACAATGTGACGGAGAAGACACACACTTGTCAACAAGAAACACACTTGTCTACAATGTGACGGAGAAGACATACACTTGCTGCAAGGTGTCTACAATGTGACGTAGAAGACACACACTTGTCTACAATGTGACGGAGAAGACACACACTTGTCTACAATGTGACGGAGAAGACACATCACTGTCAATAACGTGTGAGAGCTGACAAAGTGTCGCCAGTAGCCTCAGTGAAGGAGACAAAAGACTGTCAACGATGTGTCAGAGCAGTCAAACTGTCACGTAGCGCTCAAACCATTGTTAACAATAAGGGCCAGGATCTGAATGCCAACCAGAGGCTATAACATCAGGAGCTGAACCAGTGCCCGCAACACGACGGGGCACACAGCTACAACCTTCTGCACTGCATTACACAATGGTTCGGGTAAGTCCTGTAACGAAAGATGGGTCAACTAAGGTTTTATTTCAGCTGAAGGTTAAAAAGTACGTCATCAAAAACAATTCTTCTTCCGAAATTGAATGATTGTGATAGATACATCGCAGCGTGGGGTCACATTGAAGGTGGTAAAGCTTTAATTAAATGTCAAGAACTGTGACGTCAAGCTGTGGAGCAAGGCCTTGGAATACCAGTCCCGAACTTTCCACTACAGAATCAATGTGATTCCGCGACACTTGGTAGAAAGCTGCACCAAGTCAAGTGTACAGAATGGAAGTTTCAATGAGGTCTGATCACCTGATTTCTCTGCGAGATGGACGCTTAATCAAATGTATGCAAGGCGGGGTAAAGGAGATTGACCGGAGGCGATTGACCGTGGTAGAGACACTGTGTGACACGACTATAGGACTGGGCGTTCAATACTCAATCTATGAGGACACAAACTGCATGAATAAGTCAGACAGTCTGCTATAAATACTGTTAACGTTACACGGTGGATCGACATCTTGAACTTATACGATAATGGGTTGAAGTTGCTGTGAGCTAAATACACTGAAGTCGACATGGCGATGCATCGTCCTGTCACCGTTCACCGTCGTTTCGACGACGAAAATAAGCAAAAGTCTTTTGAAAAAAATATTTTAATAATTTTGTTTCAAACAAAATTGCTAATAATTGATTAAATCAAGGAATCAATATCATGCACTTGCTGATTAATCATAGCAGGGGAGTCCACTGCATGCATCGTCCAATACTAAAATGTTCATTTTTCTTCATTTAAGGCAGAAAAGTGAAACTGTATGGTTTCTGGTGTTGACTTTGTCTGTATATATTTACATAATATCAGTTTCATCCCACCTATACATTTAGGTAAACATATATCGAAAATGAATTCCATTTTATATTTTGTATTCCTGGTGTTTTTCTTCGTAAACAGTCATCCTTTCCTAATATGAAGATATGTCAAGTACCAAGGAAAACAAATAATATATTCATTGTCAGCAAAAATGTGCTCAAGTAAGTTTCTGTTTAAGATATGAATAATTTTTTTTACTAATTTATGCAGAACGTTTGTACAGTATAAGAGATGTAAAACATATTTTGACGTTCTTCCACATGCATGTTACTGATTACTTCTGGGTCACTGAATCAACATATTTAAACATACAATATTTTATTTTCGTAACATAAAGTCTTGCTTGATCAGCCTGAACCAAAGTGATACCACGTATCCCAAAGTATACAGTTATAACGCCATTTAGGTTCGATCCTCCAACCGAGTGTGGTATGTGAAACCTACTGTTTGTGTTCATGGCGTGTCTTGTCTGGAATATTAATGTAAAACGTCAATGTTAAGGTACACATATTCCGTTGAAACTGATTCCAATGGTATAACAGTGGTGAAGATATTGCTAGTCAATCATTGCAAATCAGCGATTACACCAAGGTTTCGCTAAACGGGTAAGCAGGTCCTACCATACCGGTTACGTGCGCCTCTCAGTTTGTATAAAAATGCATGTGTTTGTTGTCAGATTCATCTCATCAGTAACATCCACCCGTCAAGATGCAGGTTAGAATTGGTCTTCAGAAACCCATGCTTGTTGTAACGGGATCGGGTGGTCAGGCTCGCTGGCTTGGTTGACACATGTCATCGTATCCCAGTTGCGTAGATCGATGCTCTTGAGGTTGATCACTGGATTGTCTGGTCCAGACTCGATTATTTACAGATCGCCGCCATATAGCTGGAATATTGCTGAGTGCGGCGTTATACAACAAACCTACATACCATCAGTAACATCGAAGACAATCAAATGATGGACCTCACACTGGTCACTGTCCACTAACGTAATTCTGCGATTTCTTATTGAAACACACTACTCACACTTGGGACAGTGACCTTCCGTCCAGGGCACTTTAGGATTATATGTCATGAAATGCTTCTCGTTAAGACGAATTAGTATTGGATAGTGCGTGGAAATAGAACACGTCATATTAAACATGAATCTTCCTGCAGCCTCTCCTTTCAATTAGCCTAATGTCTGTACATGAATGCAATGGCTGGTCGGCCGAAGGTTAATTTAATATGAAGCTCAAATTGATGGTGATGACCCTAATAAACGACAATTATCTGCTTTGAAGGGTAACGTTGACGGTTATTTGAGTTGTCCATGCAGGCGTCGAATGGCTGACCTCTCCTGTAACAATGGTCCAACATTTCTTCCGACGATACACGTTAGTAGTCTCTTCAAACCGACTTAATTGAATGATAAATATACCTTAGACAAGCATTAGACTGTGTGGTGAAGACGAGGTAATTATTCCTTTCCTAAGCGTCCTCTCACTACTACAAAATGACAACAGAAAGTGTAGTTGTGTGTGCTATCATTACACCGTATGGTCCTTACAAAGGCTGGACAAAGAAGTAATACGTCCAATACGGACATCTCTTTGGGCTCTCCTCCCAAATTATGTTTCAAACGTGAGATATAACGAGAAAAGATTTATTCACGTGCAGTCTACTATCTGTTGTCGCTACTACTACTACTACTACTACTACTACTACTACTACTACTACTGCGATTATTACCACTACTTCTGCTGTACTGCTACTGCCATTGTTGATGCTGCTACCGTCAACACCCCACCACTAATGCTGTTCTAAAGATACTTAAATACAGAACGTCAACGATCGACATCTCTCAGTGTTCCCTTCTAACTTTCTCGCTGTTTCCAGGTGAACAATTGACTAGCCTTTGTATGTGTTTATGACGGTTACCACCGCTGGGGCTGGATAGGATCCACTCTTCACGGAGACCTGGTGTCATCACTGTTTTATAGCGATTCGTAAACACATGTTCAAGATATAGCTGAAATGTTACAGTAGATTGTTTGATGTGGAAAGGGCTTTGTCCCTTTAATGTATCTTATTCTACATTCATAAGCGTTTATATAGATTTACAGAACCCTGAATTTTAAATTCGGTTTAAAGTTTGTTTGAACTTGGGTATGACTTCATTAGTGGTGCATCCAACAAAGAGGAAAGCTTTGCATTTCTCCTGTCGACACCGAATCCAGTAATCTCGACAAGAGACGTCTTGCGAGAAGTTCAAGAACGGCGCCTCAAATGAAGAATTCTCGTGTTAAATTACGTATTCAAATTACCACAAGTGCTTGATCAAAGAGACTCTAGTCACAGAACCGACAGGGGACTCTCGGATTACCATGTTGCTTCCTCAAATACGACAAAAAATAGGCTGACATTTAATCGAATAAATCTACACGATTAATTCCAAGTAGAAGTCACCTCACTTCGACACGATATCAATCTATTGACGGTGGCAACTTTTGATGTCAGGAGATCCGTGTGTGTGGATAGTTACGGGAGACAGAAATCCTTGCTTATTGATCTTAACAGAGGCAGCTTGAGTGTATGTGACAGAAGCAACAGGTCTGTCAACACAATGAACAAAACGGATGAACAAAACCCAGTAATTTGCATACGTTCTGCATCTGTTATTCCTGCGCTAACAGGCGAGATCATGGCGGTCTCTCGTCAAGCTAATCAACTGAAGAAGGGAACTGCTCAAAGCGACAACAGTTCATTGAAATGAGA